CTCTGTTCAGCGGCATTTAGTCGCAATAGGCTCCATTCAACCCTGCGGATGACCGAAGCGCCAGTAGTCACTCCTTCCCTACAACGATTATTCTCCTGGATTGTTTGCATCACAGCCCAGCTGGTTTGGTGACCTGTACTGGGCCACCGTAAGTTCCACTAGCAACTGGAAGCTAAATCCGAATACCATGACTGGCCAACTTTCTTCTTTCTCAAGTGTCAGTCTCTTATCTTCGCTCGCTTGTTGATTTATTCATTGACACTGTAGGTATCCATTAATGACGAAACGTCTTACTCATATGGCTTAGCCAGCCACTGATACTACCTTTCCTAGAGCCAGTAGCTCTGTTAAGCAGCAGCTAGTCGTCATAGGCTCCATTCAACTCTAAGGATATCTGGAGCTCGGTATTCCACGCTCCTTCCCTACAAAGTTTATTCTCCTGGACTGTTTGCATCACAGCCCAGCTGGTTTGGTGCCCTGTACTGGGCCACCGTAGTTCCACTAGTAAATGAAGGCTTAATCCGAATGCTATGGCTGGTCACTGACTTCTCTCCTAGCGCCCTGATCTGCCGTTCGCCTTTCGCTCCTCAACTCTTCTTGGCAGCAGTTAGTCGTTGTTGGCTCCGTGCATCTCTGCGCGAAGCTGTAGCTTTTAAGGAGCCACTCAATAAACACGAACCTTCTTTTCTCTCAAATGTCTGTCTCTCTAAGCTTCGATCGCTTGTTGATTTATTCATTGACACCGTAGGTATCCACCAGTGACCAAACGTTCTAATGGTATGGTTACACCAGCCACTGATACTACCTTTCCTAGAGCCATTATCTCTGTTTAGCAGCAGCTGGCCGCCATAGGCTTCATGCAACTCAGCGGATTTCCGGAGCTGGCTGTGTGTTACTCTTTTCCTGCAACTTTATTCTCTTGCATTACAATGCAGGTGGTTTTGTGGCGCTGTAGTTATCTACATGTGACTGAATTTCTTAATCGTTTGGCTACGCTTGGCCGCTGGTGATCTGTCCACCAACGCTTTTATCTAGTTTATCTCACCCTTAACACCTTTAGCTACCGCGATTTGGCGCATTCTCCTCGCATCTCTGCGCTTATTAGGGTCCGCTCCTTATCTTTCGAACTGATTTCTTGTAGGCAGTTTGCACCACATAGTATTGCTGTGTTGCTGACCTTTTCTTTGACACCGTAGTTTTCCATTAGTACCTAGAATGTTTAACCCAACTAGCACTTTTGACCACTGAAACCAAGTCAATTAGCGCCATTTCTCGATCGTCTTACGTTCTACACTTAGTCCACCGTACATTTCCATTGAATCCTAGCCGGCTTTCATTATGCTCAGCTCTCTATCCTCCTATACCTATGTACATAATGGCTGCTATGTGGTCTTAGATGATCCTCATCCCGTGGAGTGTATTTAAATATCGCCACCTCGTCACTGTATTTTCTGGTTTCCGATTGCAACCAATCGTGCTTACATACTCACCTTCTGGTCTCCGGTTGAATTATAACACCGGTAGCCAATACCACGTGGATTTCTTCCCAGAACCCTGCTCTCCATTCTCATGAAAGTACTTTATCCATTGGGCCATGCCTTCTGCTGCGTAATCAAGAAACAGAAACAGAAACAGTAACTGTTACAAATTTTACACCAGTTGTCTCAAGTACCTGCCTTAAAGTAGTATTTCTCCAATGCTTGGTACCATGATGGGCCTTTTTGGTTTTCTCCCGACCTGTGCCTCTCTTTAGTTTTGCTCTGTGGTCGTGAACACCTTAGAGGTCCGGGATTGAACTGAGAACTTGCCTACATCTGAGATTGGACAAAATAACCAACAAGGACTTACCTGGACCATGGCTTCACTTCAAAACAAACCATCTGCACCCAACCCCTCAACCACCTATGTCCAGTGAGGGTAGCTGGGTACGAAATCTTCACCTCACAGAAAATATACATAATCAAAGAAGGTAAGACCCACACAGTGGAAATTCTACTTACCTTCAAAAGCATACTTCCTCCTCGACTGACCTCAACGTCTATGTTGGACTCTGACTGTGCCATTCGTCTAGCCAACAGAGGAGTCACTCGACTGCGAATAACTACTTGAACAAATTTTCCATAAGAAGCTTCGCCAGTTGTAAAGGACCGACCATAATAATCGACAACAGTTTTCCAGGACATGATGGGTTTTCGCCTGACAAGCGTTCTCCATATAAAAAGTCACCAAAGTCCGTTAATCAACACTGTGAGGCAGCGGACATGACTCGCCACTGAATAAAGTCACTGCCCATTGTTACGCACTGGAATATCGACTAGTCGTTTTTCAATATTTTACTGTCACGTACAACAAAGATAATCTCAGTCTTCATCTACTGTCCTCACTCCACTTACCGTGCCTTTTTGTATACTTTACGCACACTTGAAACCATTTTATTGGCACTCCACTGATGACTTTGCTCCTCATGAGTGCTTCGACTGTTTCTGCAAATTATACAGCTTTTGGCCACAGCCAAATACATGCGTTGTGACGTATCTGCTGCGTCACATAATCGCTTGTAAATTTTGATCATACCTGAGGTGGTATGGCTCGATGAATTCGAGAATAAAGTATTTATTTATTTATTTATGGACCATTTACCTCCGAGGCTCCACCCAATAACCTTCCAGAATGTAGCTCCGCACTTTTGTGCGTATGACATCAAGTATCAGGCTACGTTGCCCACATATACCCTTATTTTCAACCTGTCATCTTTATCTCATGTAATTGTCACCTAGGAACCACAAAAATATTGAATATTCTCTTTTCACCCAGATCCCATTTAATCACCTATTCCTATTACCTCTCTTGCCGGTATGACGCTTTTCTCTTCCATAAAATACCGCTTACCTCTGATGTTCCATTGACTTATATTTGACATTGTAGCTTAGTATTTTGTGGGTAAGACAAGCATCGGGCTAGGTTGCCAGTCGTTATTTTTCCCCTCAAGCTGATATTGATATCACTGATAATGGTTCCTACATTTACCCTAAATAACACTTCATAGCCTCTCTTCACCTTACTTCCTATCTTTTGTCTCCTCCTACCTCTTCACATCTCTTTTGCTGTGGGTTTTATTCCATCTTACGAGCCACCAAGCTCCGATGTTCTACCGACTTACCTTTCACACAATAGCTCCGCACTTTTGTGCATAGGGTAACAATATCTCGTTCCTATAAATCACTGCCCCAGCGCTTAGCCGATTGCTCAAAAGTCCATATCCCTTAATCTTTCGATCACTGTTCTCTATGTCAATCTGACTTACTTGCGACGTCGTAGAACTCAAACTTCGAGTGGTTTGTTTAGCCAGTTTAGGCGACGCTTCCCCGTAGTATTATACTAAGGTAAGCTCACAGCTTCACTGGCTTTACTTGACTATTTTCTATTTAGCCACACCAAATGTCCTTATAAATCCCCGCACTTAGCCTTAAGTTTATTCTTAACTGTCCATTCCATATGATCTCTCAATTAAGATCGGATTCTACTATATATTTAACCCTCTCCTCTTTCTATATTCCCTATTTTTGACTTACCTGTGACACCTAATCCTCCACCTCGGAGCACTGTATGTTATCCTTTTGGCACAGATGGCTCATGTTATTTAACCCTTGCAGCCTGGCATCGCTGACCCTGCTTCCCTATCTTCCCTCCAACTACAGCAGTCGGTCCCTATAAATCACTGCTCGTACAAGTAGCTGCCTATGTTGCGCACCCATATCCTTTTCGCCAAACTGACATGGTTATCTCATATAATGTTACCCTTTGAACCACAACAAGTTTGAATATTCTCTTTTCATCTCGCTTCTATCTATCACCTGTTCCTACAAGTTCTTTTAATGGATTGACTCGGGCTTTCCTCTTCTCACGTGCACCACCTACCTACGATGTTCCAACGACCTTCATTTTGAACTGTAACGCCGCACTTTTGGGCGTAAGTACTTAATTATCTGGCTTTGTTGCACGAATGTTCCTTTTCCCGTTCTACTTCTTTGCTTATCTTTCATACCCTATTATACACCACCAACCTCCAATGCTCCACCAACTCATATTTGACATTGTAGCTCCGCGTTTATTTTGGTTTGGACCTCAAGTCTCTGGTTATGTTATCAGCTTTTATCCTTTCCCCAAGTTAAGATCGATATCACTGATAATCTTTCGCATATGTTCTCTAAATAATACTGCATAGTCCATCTTCAACTTGCTTCGTATTACTTGGCGCGCACTACTTCTCCATTTATCTATTTGGCTCTGGATTTTCTCTCCCATTATGGACCACCTGCTTCCGCTGCTCTACCGACTTACCTGCTACACTGTAGCGCCGCACTTTTGTGCGTAGGGCCTTAAGTATCAAGCTACGTTGACAACATATATCCTGCTTGCCAAGCTGACATTTTTAGCTCTTCTGATAGTTACCCAAAGAACCAAAACAACAGTAAATATTCTCTCTTCATCTAGCTTACATTTATGTGCTTATCCTGTTATACTTTTACCCGTTTGGCTATGGCTTTCCTCTCCTCTTATGCGCCACCTACCTACAATGCTCCAACGACGTACCTTTCACGCTGTACCTCAGCACATCCGTGCGTAAGACCTCAGGTATCTGACCATGTTGCGTGCCTATTTCTTGTCGCGTCCTACATGTTCACTTCTCATGTTTACTCTAGCACCACCAACCTGCGGTGCTCCACCGACTCACATGTAATAAACTAGCTTCGCACTTTGTGTGTAGGACCTCAATACGAGGGTCATTCAATGAAAAAGGCGAATTTTTCGGTATAAGGACTTCTAATACAGATAGAAGCTTACTTGTTTATTTTTCATGGTAGTCTCCCAGCACTGTCACACACTTTTCTCATCTGTGCACAAGCTTCCGTATTCCCTCAGCGTAAAATATTTGGAATGATGTCTCAGTCAGTCGCTCACAAGTCGTTTGACTTCATCGTCACTTTCAAACTTCGTGCCTATCGTGAAGGCATTCAAGGGACCAGACAAGTGAATGTCTGAAAAGGCAAGGTCTTGGCTGTAAGACGGATGAGGAAGCAGCTCCCAGCCCAGCTCGTTGATGGTCGGCACCGTTAGTGCTTATGTGTGAGGCCCTGAGTTGTCATGATGCAAGATGACCCCTTCTGACTGATGACCCCTGCGTTTGTTCTTTATATCTTTCTTGACTGGCCTCAGTAGTTCACAGTAGTTGTCACTGTTCACAGTGCTTCCTTTCACAAGGAATGAAAAGGCGATTGGGCCTTGCTTATCCCAAAAACGGTGAACATCACCTTTCTCGTGGACCGCTGGGACTTAAACTTCTCCTTCACTGGAGAGCCTATGTGCTTCCACTCCATGGACTGCCGTTTGGAATCAGGCTCATTTAGGTAAACCCATGTCTGGTCACATGTGACCGCCTTCTTCAGAAACTCAGCACCATCCTTCTCATAGCAGCAGAGACACTGCTGGCACAACTCGACCCTCCTCTGTTTGTGCTCTGCAGTAAGCATCTTTGGCACCCACCGGCAGCTGACCTTCGAGTAGCCAAGGTCATCATGGACAATTTTGTGTGCTCTCTCAACAGAAAAGCTCAAACTCCTAGCCATGTAATCCACTGTCACCCTTCTGTTCGACTGAATGAGGTCATTGACTGATTCGATCACCCCAGGAGGCCTCACTTCTGTAGGCCTCCCAGGCCTGTCTTCATCCTCAACATTGCTTCGTCCTTCTTTAAACAATTTTGCCCACTTGTAGACACTTTTTCGGCTGAAGCATGTGGCACCATGCACCGTTGACAGTCTCCTATGAACTTCAACTTGTTTGCACAAGACAGCAACCAAAAACTTGATAACTGACCGCCGTTCAACCTTGGAACATGCTTCTTGGTCGGCCATCTTTGTTAATCGCCAGAATTCGCAAAGGTTTTTCAATCTGCAAAAGAAATTATATCCATGTGAAAACAAAATAAAACAACAAAAATAAAAATGTAAGCTTCTATCTGTATTAAAAGTCTTTATACCGAAAAATTCACCTTATTTATTGACTGACCCTCGTATTTGGCTACGTTTCCCGCCTATATACTTACCCCCATGCCGATATCCACATCACCGATAATTTTTCCTAGATATACCCTAAACAACACGGCACGGTCCATCTCCATCTTGCTTGGTATCCTTTGTTTCGTTCTACTCTTTCACTTAGCTCTTGTGCTCTGACTTTCCTCTTTCATTATGGACTACCTACCTCCAATGCTGTACCGACTTATACGCCACACCGTAGCTCCGAACGTTTGTGCGTAGGACTTTAACTATCTGGCCACGTTGCCCAATTATACTCTAATCCCTTCTTGCTTCTCTTATCTCTTTGGTCCTTGCTTTCCCTGCCACTTATAGACCACCTTCCTCCAATGCTCTACCGGCTTACCTGCCACACGGTTACTCCAAACATTTGTGCTTAGGACATCAAGTAATTACATTTTCTTGCACACCGTTACCCTTCTCCGCAAGCTGACGTCAAAAGTACCAATATTTGTTCCTATATTTAATCATAAAAATACTTCAGATTTCTCTTGACTTCGCTTCGTATCCTTGACTAGTCCTTCTTTTACGATTACCTCTTTGGCTCTAGCGTTCCTCTTCTGTTAGTCATCACCTACCTCCAAAGATCCACGGAGTCACCTTTGTCATTCTAGCGCAGTACGTTTGTAGGTGGTGCCTCAAGGATTTGGCTTGGTTGCTTGCGCACATCCTTAAAGTAAGCTGACATAGTCTTCTCTAATTATTGTTTCCTGTGGCTCCTTAGTTATGACTTACATACTTCGCAATATAGCGCACAGAGGTCCTTCATTCCATGCAGAGATCTTTCGACATTTCTATTGGTTGTTTATTTAACCATAACGACAATGCATAGAGTCTCTTTATCTTGCTTTCCCTTAATCAAGCGCTGGTGCTTCTACACAGCTGATTAGACTTTAACCCTCACAGCGCTCTGCGTCCATCTGGCTTACTGGTGGCACCGTAACTCCTCCGTCGAATCGTTTACTTAAAGCTCGGTTTTCTCTATTGATGTAGGTTCATATGTTTGCTTGCTCCGCAACGCTATCTTCGTTGCAACTAGGGCACTTCGTCCTACCGCCCCTGCCCCTCTGCTTAACTGCCTGCTTGACAGTCTTTATCACTTCATATCTCGACCACTAAAGTCCTTTGCTGCGAAGCTAAACCGGCCCTTATCCCCACTGCCTCTGCGACCAAATGACCAACGAGTGACACCGTAGGACCCCACCTAGACGTGGTTCACTTAATCCATTGAAATGCCTTTGGGCTATTTCTTTCCACATCTGCTATTATCAACCAGCTATTTCTGCAGCCCTAGGTGCTACAGCCGCAGCAGTTTTCATATTTATTCACTTCCCTCCCCGATGCCGTTGCTCTTTCATCATCCCACCCCCGCGTACCGCGTCTTTCCTTTGCTAAAGAGGTATACATATACTGATACCTAGTTCCTGTATATTCCTTTCGCAGGCTAATATAAGATGGCACACACATACACATGACATCGAGCTTGTACATAGACAGAACGAGGGAAACAGCTTGATAGGGCTCCAGGTCACCAGCTCTGCTCACTTCCTCCTTTCCGTTTGCAATTGTTCCTCCCTCTGACCATTTCTTTCCCACCCCTCCACGAGACCTACATATAAGGGTTAATTAAACTTACCTTGATCGTCGTATCTCGATGGAGAACTTGAAGGTAATCCTCGTAGCTCCCAAGGCCTAAGTGATAGCCCGGACCAACATCTCGGTACTTTGACCCAGTTTTCAGCGGTTTGAACAATTGGGTTCGAATCCTTTTCATCATCGGAACATCACAACAAAGCATTGTCCTCCCGCAAGTGTTTAACTTACTTGCGATTCCGTGGCGTTATGCTCCTTCCCCTCGCCAATGGATTTCTCCCAGTAACAGAATCCCTATTTGTTTGGTGACACTGCCTATAGATACATTAGGTACCTCGCCAGTGTGGTCTGTGATTAATCCTGTGCTCATTGGATGTTTATCTACTATGGTCTGTGTTATTGCATTTGGCCATACCTGTAATCTGGAGAATGCAGTAAACCTTCACTTCCATACCTTTTACTGGTTTGAACAGTTGGGTTCAATCCCCTTTCGCCATCACATGTTAGGAATGGGAGACGCCTGATAAGATTGTCACTGGCACGATTGGGGCATGCATACGGAAACGGCTTGGAACACTGGCCAATCGAACGGATTTGCGCTTACCTGTTGGTGTTAGCTTAGCCCGGTGAGACGGAAATTGAGCGAGCGTTAGAACGTTCTTGGTCATACGTATTCGGGTAGACTCTGAGCCCTCGTAACGGACGAGGCTACGCACACGAAAAGTGGGTTACGGTAGACGCGCGCTAATGGCTTAGACGCGAACGTTGCCCGGCTACCTACGCGAACAAAAGCACGTGATTCGACCAAACCAACTAACGGCGAAGAGAAAGAGGGGCAAGTGGTCCTCTGAAGGCTCTTTTACAACCAACTAAGTGCAAAGCAATGCCAAGGCTATGGGCCATTCAGTTAGGAAAAGCAGCTACCACGACGGGGTGGTAGATTTTAAACGCACATTGGCAACAGATGCGCAGTTGCGCCACGTCTCCGAGTGGCTAAGATCTGCTACATTGTGGGGACGAGTTAGACTCCGCTTTCCACAGCCAATACGCCGGAGTTTATGGTACGCTTTTGGGGGAATATTTGACGGACCCGCAACACCACAGCACGCGCTTCAATTATTTGTAAGGTACCTATTACTTGTGATACTATGGCGTTATGCCTTGTCAATCTCATTAGTGGGTTGCTTCCATTGAAATACCACAAGCTTAAACTACTTGGCGCTGCTATAATATACATACATTGCCTAACTCGCTAGTGTGATCTGGCGAGAATCACATGCCTAGTATATAGTATTGGCTGTGAGCTTTACCAGATTATTGCCTTGGCCATTCTAGAAACTACTCGTAGCGCCCTAAAACATAACTGCTATCTTTTGTATACTATTTAATTGTTAACCAATTGTACATTATTCCTTCTTGTTTTAACCTTCCTTACAACCGACTCGATACTCATCCGCCTTGTAAGTTTTCGCGCTAACGTGTACCACCTGCCTTGCTTCATCCGTCCGCATTTTCTTGTAACACCGAATACTGTCTGCTGTGTCCGTTTCCAATTTTTTTCTGATATCCGCGCTTACTTTCGCGCACCGTGTCGGGCTAGGATTTACTAGTCTTACAAATTTTTAACCCGTTTCGCGCGCGCATATTTAAACTCGTTTGGTCGTTTCTAGTATTTTGTGTGTTCGTTCTTTTTTGATTATATAAGTGTATTCATTTGTTTTGTGCGTAATTTTAGAACTTTCTTTATGTATTGGATCATCAATTATTTTTTCGATTCACAGTTCGACAGTGGCATCTGCGTCGTTTTGCAGCGGAAACGCTTACTTCGGCCGTTGCAAGTTTCGTAGCACACGGCCCAGAGGTTTAGTTTCCGATATTCGAGAACGAACTTAAACTAAGGGTATTAAGACGGAGCTTCCGGGTACCATCAGCTCCTTCCACGCCTTCCTTCGTCGGCGGTGACGCTGGATGAGTACATTCTACCCTGCCCATGGAGTGAGGCAATGTATGTAAGGAGAAAGCAAGCGATTCTAAAAGCGTTAGAGCCCAGGGCACGAGTTTGATTTGAACAGCACAATGCTCTTAAGCTGACAGATTGCAAGCCGTCGGCGTTGCTCCGCGAAATACAGCGCGCCGATGGTCTTTTATTCTGGAGCAAAGAAGGGATAAAGGAACTGTGGTTTGCACGTCTCTCAGAGCCATAATCGGTAATGCTGTCCATGTTTCTTGATACGACCCAGAAAGAACTAGCTACCAAGGCAGACGCTGCGTACAAACGTCTTCCGCAGCAGACGACCAGTAACTCCTGTGACATGTTCTCACTGATGCAAGCCGAGTTTTCTAATTGCTGAAAGCCTTCAGTCCAATCTGACACTAAAGCCGAGAAAATTGCGCCATTTCGCACCAAGATAGCAGCAATGGATTATTCAAAGTCGCGTGTGCCACGGTCCTATGCTGGCTACGTTTTGGTTTTTGTTTATTGCTGCCTGTGTGCCTGCACTCAGTACGTCTTGTTAGACACGAAAGCGCAACAATTTCCCTGCACATGCTCAGTCAGATAATACCAAACCTGTTAAAGAAGTATGTTGGTATCAATACCGTGAAAGAGCTAGACGTTGTTAGGCTCCTTGCGTTAGGCACGACTCAGTCGCTTCAGAGAAAGCTAATAGTTCGCTTACCAGCACGACCAGCCTTTCCGTTACCTACCAACCAAACCCCTTGTTTTGCGTTGTGGATCGACGTTCTTCCAGCACATTCCTTATCGACACGGGAGCGGAAGTCAGCGTCCTTCCCGGGATTGCGAACGACAAGCACTCAAAGCCTATGTAAAACCTGCATGCAGCCAACGGTACTTTGATAGCTTCATTCGTTCAGCGCATGATGAACTTGGGCTTTTGTCTTGGCCCAGATTTTCAGTGGGTCTTCATGGTTTCCTCCGTACACTTCGAAATTATCGGTATCGACTCCCTTCGACAGTTTGTATTTCTTGTTTAGGATGGTTGCCACAGATTTAGACGGCCGTAAAA